TATTATTATTATCATTATTTTATTATATTAAATTATTTTTTTGACGTGATGTAAAGGTTATTTATTATGTTGAGTGCGGGTGGTGGCAGGTGGTGATTTTATTTCATTAAACACTTCCAACAAGTGCTGGCTGGCTGACTGACTGACTGGCTGACTGACTGGCTGGCTGACTGACTGGCTGGCTAATTGGCTGGCTAACTGGTTGGCTTGCTGGCTTGCTTGCTTGCACCACACACACACACAAACACACAAGCATGATTGGGATTGATTTTTTTCTTTTGTTTCAGGTTTCATTTTTTTTTTTTTTGAACGACTGTACGTTTAAAAATGTTAAATGTAACACTATTTTTAAAAAGAAGAAATTTCTGAAAAATGTATTCATTACTTTTTTTTTAAATTGTTTTTACTTTAGATAAATAAAAATATTTGCCTAAATAAAAAAAATTTAACTCACACATGTCGCAATTTTCTCGAAGTATATAACCAAAAATAAAATGTACAGTGTTAATAATATTTGTGATTGTAATTTTAGAGCAAACAAAATTGTTGTCTGAAATCGTGAATGACGCAACGAATCATGATAATCAGCATTGTAGTCGTTTTTATTGTGTCATCACATTTACATATCTGCAATACAATAGTCCGGCGCACGAGTCTATGAAAATTCTGAATGACAATTGATTGTGTGTGGTTGTTTAGGTGTTTGTTTGTTTTGTATGATCGTTTGGTTGGTTGATTGTCTTTTTAGTTGTTTGTTCATTTGTTTGTTTGTTCGTTCATTTGTTTTCTCGTCTGTTTTTATGTACGTATGAATGTTTGCACATGATCTCTGCACGTTCGTTTGCTCCTTCCCCCAAAATGGAAAATGGTTAAGATAAAACTGAAAAAATCTCTGCGTGTAGTAATACAAATTTTGACAGAAAAATATTTCAGTTACCTGCAACAATGAAATTGAGTTGAATTTGTTTTAAAACAACTGTGTGGTAATCCAACAAGATTGTCTTTGACTTTTTAAGCATCCATCGAAGCCAATTTCTGGCTAGAAGCAAATAAATGAGGCGTTCACAAATTTTTCTGCTGATGTTTTTATTAATGTTACAAGAATGAAGAAATTTTGATTTGACAATTTTACAATGCATGGATGGAAACTTTGAAATTTTTTGTTTTGTTTCGTTTTTGTTGGTTTGTGTGTGCGTGTGTGTGTATGTGTGTGTGAGTGTGTGTGTATGGTTTGTGTGTGTGTGTGTGTGCGTGAGTGCGTGTGTGTGAGTGCGTGAGTGTGTGTATGTGTGTGTGTGTGTGTGTGTGTGTGTGTGTGTGTGTACTTGTATGACGTCAACAAAATTCGTTCGTTCCTTTGATACATTGTTGATTTATTGCATTCGTGTTTCGCGTGCCAGCACGTTGGGATCGGGTTAAGTCACGCCAAAATATGAATAGTAATAATGAGGATGACGAAGATGATCTTATTAATAATAACAATAATAAATTTATTATTGTGGTTTTTAATTTAATTACATTAATTACATTTGTAAAAGTAAATTGAGAGATGTAATTTTTCGCCATTTTGTTTTTTTTTAATATTTCTGCCAAATATTTTCATCATTCAGATTGACGTAATCGTCGTCATCATCATCAATTTTGACATCATCTTTATCATCACCACCCTCATCATCATCACCATCATCGTCATCATCATTGCAAACAAATAAATGATTAAAACATGGTGATCTTGTTTGTTGTACGTGCTTCTATTAAAGAACTTCTTCGAAGCATCCGTCCATCTGTCTTTCAACCATTTGTACTGTACATCCATTCAGCCACTTATCTCTTAATTCATCCATTCATCTATTCATCCTTCTATCCATCCATCCATCCATTTATCTATCTACCCATCCATTCATTTATCCATTGATTTTTTTACATGTTCCATCGTTCCTTAATGTAATGTTGTATTATCACCAATTATTTTGATCTGCATTAAAACATTTAATGTTATAAAAATTTCGGTATTTCTTGGAGGTAAAAATTGCATCACATAAATTATGTTAATGTAAGCTACAAGAAATTTACGAACTATAAAAAATAATTCAGTCATAAATATTTAATAACAATTTTCTCATTATGTTTATTCCAGTTTGTTCGTTCAATGAAAGATTTTGTTTAACATACGCGCTAAATCGTGAGACAAGCGCATTAATCATAATAGAAGGTTTATAAGTACAATGTAGCCCACCATCACATAACTATCATAGTAATATTTTCTCACATATTTCTAATTTTTAAGCACACATACACACAAACTTGTATAGTGCGCACATACACTTGTTCCCGTGCACATGATTGAAAATATACACCGAGACACTCAAAGCCACACAAAAACAGAGAAAAAAACAGAGAGAGAAAAAGAGAGAGAGAGGGAGAGGGAGAGGTAGTGTGCAAATGATGTCTATGACAAGGACATCCAGTTGCGAATGATACGAGAACTTTTTATAACCCGTCATGAAAAAATAATTAACGTGAAAGGGAAGCTACAAAAAGTGGGAGCTACAAAAAGTAGAAGTAGTAGTGGCGGGCAATCGAGCGAGCGAGAGAATTTGCAGATTTGTGGCCTCACGTGAAGACAGCTGGCAGGGGGCGGAAAAAGGAAGACGAAACTTTTTCTGCAGTGTACATAAAAATAATTCAAATGTGTTAAAATTAGGATTGAACATTTTACAGGATGGGTGTTGTAGTAGGTATAAAAAAATTGTAGACACGTAGTTTTCGTGCAGTTAATTATGATTAATATTAGCTGTATCTGGCCTAATGTGATGAATGACATGAAACTAAGCTTGTACGTGCGAATGTTCAATATAGCTCATCTTTTGTCCTCAAGTTATTAGCTGCAAAGATGTTATATTTTAAAAATATGGTTGTAGAGAATATTGATACTAAGTTTTTTTTTGGAACTCTTCTGCAAATGATGAGTCAGTTTAAAAATAACAAAGAAAACGTACAAGAAACATCTTGAAATGAAATGTAGTGGAGGATTGTAATAATGAGCATTCATCATTTTTGAATAACATAAGATTTTAAAACAACTTATAAAAAAAACTTTTGATAAATTTTTGCAAAGAAGCAAGAATTTAATGAATCTTTTGTGGTAGAAAACACTATTCGATTCACAATAATTCAAATAATTTCATGAATAGCTAGCCATCATCTATTTATAAACTTAATAAGAACTAAATAAACAAAAATGAAACAATTTTTTTGATGACGAAATCAACATATTGGCAGAATGAATTCTTTGAAAGGCAAAGGCTTATGGAGAAAAGATTGGATGGAAGGATTTCTCAAAAATGATATTGTAGGACCAGCAAACATTTTTTGTAAGAAAAAAATAAATTTAATTTTTCAAATTTTCTTTTTATGTTAATCATTCAAAGTCGTAAATCAAAACTGAGATCACAAAAAATTTGATTATAAATCAATTTGAAGCTGGATGTATTCAGTGATGTAATTAAATATGACCTCAGCAACCTCTTCAATGATAAATTCTTTCACACTTTTCAAATCTTTCAAGCACCCAATCATTATTCATTATTTTTCTATCAGGAATATAGTTCTTTGGTCCTTACAAAGTCTAAAATTAATTTTTAATAATTTTAAACGCATGGGCAGGACATTTTTATTTCAATTTGTATATTTTCTCATACTTAAATATATACGCATTTTAAATAATGAACAGCTGCTAGAGTTTTAGCTTGCTAAAAAGTTTTTTAACGACTGACACAACTTGATCAGTTTAGTTTTCGTCTATAAACTAGACACAGAAAACTAAATCCCAATACTGATGCAATCGCAATAACGGTAGGACGTCACGATCAAAACTCACACTGCAAAATGTTTCGTGATGACAAATTACTCGGGCTTTGTTGGGCTTTATCATAGGTAAATCTTCGAACAAAAAGCCATTTATACTTACTTTTATTCAGATTTTTATAATAATAATGGTAATTATTTATTTAAAATTGTTATTTATTTGTTTGCCTATGTTTAGCAAAGATTCTAGACTCATACAACAAAAAATTGTGTTTTAAATAATGAATTCTGAAGGTCAATAATTTTATTTTTCATTATTTTTTAATTCTTTTGATATAGTTATTTTATGTCTAATTAGTATTGTTATGTTGTTGGATGATGACCGCAAAATTTTATTAAATATTTATTTATTTACTACTTTCAATCGTTTCGAATTAGATTAGTTGTGATGTTTGGTGACCGGTACGTTTTGTATATTACTTTTAATAATTATTATCTCATTGTGATTTCCTGGTTTCTATAATTTTACTGAGTGTCATCGTCATTATCGTCTTCACCATCATTTTCATCATTATCTTTTTCATCATAATCAAACTCATCATCATCATCATCATCTTTATTTTCGTCTCCTACCATTACAATGACCATCTTGAAAATTTTTTATTTCCCGCGCTTTTATTGCCGCCATTTTACTACCGGCTTGCTTGGCTATAGTCAGTGCCAGACTTTCAACACTTAACATCATTATTAGGATTATCATTTTCATTATATTGTGGTAGTTGCTCTGAGACATTTGTGCTTGGTTGGTCGGTCACGGTCGATTGGCTGGACGGTTTTTTTTTCAATTAGCATAAAGCAGTTTTAAATAACTTAATTGTATGTGCAAAGACAAATGAATAAGATCAAAGCAAAAGCCGCTAGTTCGATCATTTAAATATTAGGGTTTCCATACATTTTTTTCATTGTTTTACAAATAAACAAACATCACGTTAATGGTATAAGATCGAGTTTCATAATTTTCAAATTAAAATGGTTTAATTGCCTAATTCAGAAATTACCTGCTCGAATCACTCGCTATTATGCAAAACGATGCCGACCTGATTGATAAAATTCTGTCAGTGAAAGAAAAATTTGATTTGACGGAGAGTGTCGACAAAACACCAAATCTCTCAGACGATGCAAAATTCATTAAGGAAATTGAAAATAGTCTGCCATCAGAATCGCTAGTGACATCTTTGGAACAAAGTTTATGCAAAACAAGAACCTTCAAAATAATAATTCTTGGTGATTCTGGAGTCGGTAAAACCTGTTTGGCCACCAGGTTGTGTCAGGGCCAGTTCCCAGAAAGAACCGATGCCACCATTGGAGTTGATTTCAGGTACAAAAATCTTCTCATCAAGGATGAATTAGTCAAGGTGAGAAATTATTTTATTTGCTGATAAAGTAAATAATTATAAATATATAAGTCAAGAAGATGATGCAAATTAACTTCATTAAGTAAAAAGCTAAATTTTTTAACTAAATAATATAAAAACTTAACTTCATTAAGTAAAAAGCTAAATTTTTTTAACTAAATAATATAAAAACTTAGACACACATTTAGAGATTAACAAACAATAATAACTTGCCTATACTTGTATAGTACATACTATATTGTATTGTATTTTTAGATCAACATTTGATAAACCTTTACAGATTTAAAAGATTTCAACTCATAAATTATTGTCAGTAATATTACAATCATGTAAACATATGATAGATAAAATTTAATTTATTTATCATTTGCTCATTTTTTAGCAGAAATATTATTTAAATGATATTTAACTTTAAAACATATTTAGGATTTTTTTATTTTAAATGTTAATCAAACGTAAATACATTTTTGAATATATTTGCAAACAGTTACAAATCTGGGACACAGCCGGCCAGGAAAGGTATAGAAAAAGTATGGTACACCACTTCTACAGGAACGTAAATGCCGTTGTGTTTGTGTATGACGTCACAGACCTGTCATCATTTGAGAACCTTCCCGTCTGGATTCATGAGTGTGAGTCATACCATCTGAAGGAAGATGTCTTGCGGATCATCATTGGGAATAAGTTGGTTCATCTACTTTTCACTGTGGCTTGCCAACATTGATTTTTTCTTATCTTATTGAGTATTTTTAGGGCTCAGCTGTTTGGGCCATTATCATTACTAATAGCACTTGCAGCAATGGTAGTAAATGAAGAACAAACAGTTTAACAACACTACCATTGGAACAAGCATTAGATAAATATTTAGACACATCAATCGATCTTTGTTTGGTATCTAGAGACCCAGTTTCCCCAAGGTAGGACGTATTTAGACACATAAACGATGTGTTAAAAGCAAGAAAGAAAAGGCAATTTTGGTTTCGGTGTTACCAATTTTTTATTTTATATTTTAATATAAATATATATACGTTTTATTAACTACTTAATATTTGTTACTAATCAATGTTTTGAGTTTTTTTTGTATTAACTGATATAATAAAGTTCACTTTTTTAAATTGATAAGGTGCGACATAGAACCCCACAAAGTACTGACATCCATCGCCCAGAGATTTGCAGACAGGTACTACATGCCCCTCTTTGAAACATCAGCCAAGGACAAGTCACAGAGTAATTATGTAGATTCAATTTTCATCACACTAGCCCACAAACTCATGAACAGTAAAAGATGGCTACCGAGTCAATTCATTCCTAGCGTGCCTTTGAAATCTCCTAGAAAAAGATTTAGCTTCTGCAATTGCTAACTGTTTAATATTTCATTTTACATATATTCTCATTTTTTATTTTGTGGTAAATGACAGATTTGTTATTACTACAGCTTCTCTTACAAGTTGAATATTTTTTCTTCATTTGTGTACTTGATGCTTTTTAAATTCTATTTACCAAATTAATTTACATTTTCGTTCGCCGCAACGAACAAGTCTCCGGTTACATTAGGTTTTTGATTACACTTTCTCACAAGAATTCAATTAAATCAATTTTTTCCACTTTTATTTTATTTTTACTTTTTGTTGACATAAAAAAAACCAACATTCCAAAATCTAACTCACTGTTTTGGTATGTTCAATATTTAACATAATTCTACATTTTAATATTTTAACGTTTATTGCATCGCTTAGAGTTTATCAGAATCTCGATATTTTAACTTTTAATAATGCATTTAATTGTAGCATTTAACGTAACAAATAAACATGTAACGAGGCAAGCGTTCGTTTTCAAAATTTTTTATTTAAACGATTTTTTTGTGGTTACAGTTATTTGGTCGGTTCGTGGATTGACCACACTGTCTGCGTTGTCTCCTGATTTTCCTTCAATTTCATCTTAGTGACCATGGGATTCGAAAATCCGTTGAAGTTGTAGATTCCTCTGGTTATCAATCGAAATAATAAGAAATTATGAAACGTCGATAATCACTGCAAATCGTTTTATCACAATAATCACTACAAAACGTTTTAAATCAAATCCTAAAAAAAAGATATTTTATAATATAAACTGTATAGTGTTACGATAGTGAACAGAAAATGAAATGATACGTACAAATGAAGTAACTAGTTAAGAATGGTTTGTTTTATATTTATTTAGAATTGAAATGATTTATTTGATCGATCGGTTGCAGGCACGTCTGGGCACAATCAGTTTTCGCAGTGATCTCAGAAATATTTTATTCATTCATTCCATCTGGAATATCGCCGCGAAAACCAAATCTGCCAGATCACGCAATTTTTCTAGCCGTTGAAAACTTATTAAAGAAAATTAAATATAATAAAAATAATTATTATTATCATTATCCATGAGACGTCATGTCATAATTATTATTATCATTATGAGACGTCATAATGAGTAAATTCACATAATGAGTGAGGAAAGTTACAAGATTCGTTAGCAATGGTTACTTAAGGATCTTATTTCAGCCTAATTACATTTCGTACTTATTCGTAAGTAAACAAGAACAAAATGACGTTGAAGAAAAATCATAAAAACATTTAGCTGGAAAAGTCTTTTAAATTTCTTTAAATGTATGTGTCGATGTATGCATTTAACAACAAACGTATGTGTATCCATACAGATATCGAATGACAAGCATACTTATACACACTTGTACAGACAGATTAATTAAAAATGTTGGAGCGCTTTGAAATTTCTTCCTTTCAAGAGCAGTTCAAAGGAGAGTTTATGAACCGGCATGTTTATATAGCAGGGCATCAACATGTGTCAACAACATTCCAATTCATCTCATAATTACATAACACGTCGTTTGTGTGGAATTTGTAATTCTAACGTTGAATACTCGATGAATTTATTACTATATGTAATTGAACAGATAACATGATGATGATTGTGTTATGAAAAACATTTTAAATTTGTTTAATAACAACCTAAGTTATAACTACATACATGCAACATTAGCTCCATCTAACATCTGTTCGTTTAAACCGAAATAAGACGGTAATCCCGCTTTTAAAATCTTTCTTTTTTTTCAATTCCTTCTTCTTTTTTTTTTTTTTCTCTTTACTTTTTTCCTGTCTTATAACGCTGGCTGATGCTAACTCTTTTCGCCGCTGTTTATTCTTTCAAAATTTTCATCTGTCCCCTCCTTTTTCTCCTATTCCATCTCACTTCAACTGAAAGTTTGCCACTAAAAAATTTTCATTTTTTAGTTTACACAAGAATTTTGCATTCCTCTCCATTCCACTCTCCTACTCAATATCTCACTTTCACAAAAATTTGTCCTTTAAAAATCTCTCCATTTTTAGTTTACAGAGGAATTAATTATCAGCAATTTAAACCAACGAGAATGAAACTGTCATGTGTTTTGCATGCATGCGTCAATGAGTGCTTCATAGATGGAGGTTATGTAAATAATGAGCATTTGCATACACTTTCATCTAATTAAAATTTTCCATTAAGATCCGACATACGTGTAACGTAACGTAACACGACAGGCGTGCTCTGCAGATACGTCAGCCGGACTCTATTATATTCTATCTCTACATTTGTCATACTTGTATAGAATAGAAAGATGAAACATAACACAGAACGTACAAATCATGATGTGTATTTGTTAGTACATATGTGTCGCGCGTATGTGGTGTGTGTGTGGCGCGTATGTTGGTGTGCGTGTGTGTTCGCATACTCGCATCCGCTATCTGAATGTTTACATTGCATGCCTCTATTAATTAAACATGGCAATTTAAATTATCTCAGGACAATTATTTCTACTAGAAAATTGATTCTGCCCGAACGTGATAAACAAGTGTAAACTAAATGACTCAACTTTAACTTCAGCTTCATTTAGTCATCCGACCATCGTATGTTTGTGTGCATGTGTGCGTGCGAGTTTTATGCGTATCTGTATGTGTGTTTGTGTGTGTACGCATGTCTGTATGTGTAATTATTGGTTGTGTGTAAGTGTGCTTATTTTCTAATAACTTCGTACAAATGAATTGCAATAATATAAGGAGTCATACATTCTTTGGAACATTATTTATTTAATATTATTACTACTAAAAAGAATTTCAGTGAGATATTTTTATAAACATTCTTAAAAACTTAAAAAAAACAAATACCAAAGCTTGCTCTGTTATCAAACGATGCATTGGAGTTTAAAGTTAAAAAAGATTTTAGACTTTAATTTTTACAAGACTTTATTACAAGCAAATTTTTGAAGTAAAGGACAAGATTGTTGACTTTAAATCGTAGAAGTCATTGGTCCATAATTAAAAATATTTTAAAATATATACAAACATTTAATTAAAATTATACGCGTGTCGTGAGAAATTTGGACATGTATAATATAATATGAATATGAATATACTAGTTAGGTGAAATTCTTAAAATTGTTTCCCCATTTAAGTTCAAAGGAAGCATAATTTAATTGTTAATCTGTTGGCGCAACGAGAGAGAGAGAGAAGAAAGAGAGAGAGAGAGGAGAGCGGGAGAGAAACAGAGAGAGAGATGTAATGAAAAGTGCTACGAGTAAATGTTGCCGATATTGAAATGGATAAATGAAAGAAAGATGAATTGAAGGACAAATATTGAGAATGCAGAATGAAGAAAGAATGCAGAAGATCATATATGCTAAGGATATCAGGTTTCAGTGAAGTTAAAATGTTGGCAAGCTTGAAAACATCTCCGACATAATACACCGCGTTTTTTAAGATTTACACTTCCCTTAAAAGAAATTATCCTTAGATAGAAAAATATTATTCTATATTTTACTTATTTATTTGGAAAACTAATGAGAAATATGTTTCGTTCTTCATATGTGAGGTCTTTGAAACTTTGTCTCATTTAAAACTGTTTGTTTTGACAGAAAATATTGCAGTGTAATGAAAAAAGATGATGATAGAAGATGCTGCTACTGCTGCTACTGCTGCTATTACTGCTGATACCGACGACGATGACGATGGAGCCGTAAGCATGTTGTAACTATTGTTATATTAATGTGGAGTTAACAGAACGAGTTATCAGAACAGTTAACCGAAAATAAAAATAAAGTATGTGCGTGTATATACATGTTTGTGCGTGTGAGTACGTGTTTGTATTACTAAGTTTACTGTAACAAAGATAGATGTAGCATCAATGATTGAGCTGTTGCTTATTTAAACCCATTTTAAATTACCAACCTAACCTATTTACAAACAACCGGCACGCTCACTTATACCTACGCAAATTCCGAATCAAAAACGCGGGAAAATTTTCATTCATATGAGAAGATAGGCGCACTGGAGAAAGTAAGGAACGACACATCACGTGATGAATCATAAAAACTATCTAGTCTATCTTACTTTGTTTAACTCAATTCACGTGCACAATGAAAGTATTTCTAATGTTAAACGCGCTTGTCTCGCGCGTGCATTGTATATATACATTATTATATATATATTAACCCCTGGCATAGCACGGTGTATGTAGGTAGTGCAATTAAATATGTAAGTTCCTACAATTGAAACATCTTGTTTTAATCTTCTTCTTTTTTCTGTTGCAATTGCGTAGTTGTAGATTGCGCAAATTCGATCAAAATAAACTATCAAAAAAACGCACGTGAATGTGAAAAACTTAAAAAAATATTTTAAATCCAGATGAACATACAAACATACAATCACAACAACAAAGATATACATACTTTTCATTCACATACTCGCGCCTTTGTGCACGTGCAAAAGTAAACTTGAAATACCTCCAACACGTTAAGCGGAAAGAATGAGTCAGCGGTTGAATTTAAATGGAATGTTTCACTAACGAAATTCAGAATCGCATTGTTGAAGAGTGCAATGTGCATGATGTGTGTGTGTACGTTGTACCGCTGTGTGCATGTACGTGCTCCTCATGACTCCACAAGACCTGATTTTTTTCTCTATTCTGATGTTCACTTGAAAAAACTAAAAGTTTTAATTAATTTTTAATTTAATTAAAATTAATTAATTAATCTGATTAATTCTTCAATATTTCAATAACAATAGATCGTTAAAGTATTTTATACTATTGTATTATTAAATTTATTAATACGATAAATGACAAGCATGAAAGATGTGTTTGCACGTAGTTTTGAAAACAAGAGTCAACAATATTTAATGCTTTTATAAACACATAATAACCACCATTCATCCATCCTTTTATTTCTGTTATATGAGAGGATTATGACAAAAATATTCCAAATTAATGACTCAATTAAGCAATTAGG